CTTTGCATGACAGAGAGAGGTGCACATCGGTCTCCTCCTCGAAGCCGGTCCCTCCGACCCAGGGAGGGGTGTGAAAGCAAGAAGAGGGAAAAGGAGCCAGCCCGGGCTGATAAGGAAGATTTGGGGAGTGGGGGCAGAGCAGCCAGCGAAGGTGGACATCGCGCCAAGCTCCAACTCAAGCGAGGTGGGATGGAGGGGCAGCACCCGCGCAGAGGGACCCGAGAGCTTCGCACGTGTCTTGCTCCATCCTACCCACAGCCCCCAGCCCTCCTGCCATCCCCGGCGAGGAGGGCACTGAGTGCCCCCATGGCAGGGGGGAAGGACCAGTTTCCCCCCACTACAGCCATGGGGAGGGAGAGGTGGCTCAGATGCTGCCACCTGCCAAGGTCATGAAGCGAAGGAAAGGAGATGTGGGCCAAAAAAGGACAGCTCCAACCGTCCAGCATCCACTTGGGCTCCATCACTGTTAAGTGCAAGTTGGAAAGGTCCGAGCGGTTGGGACACAGGCACCGCCAGCGTCCCTGGGGTCCCCCTTGGGTGGTTGCCCAGCCCCAACATGGAGCTGGCATCCCCCTGCTCTGGGCTCTGAGCTCTCAGTGGAGCACATGGCAGATGGACCTGACCTTACAGGAGCTGTTTCCTCCCCACAGCATCCACAGCCCAGCATCGCCATCCCTCACCCTACAGAACGGCACTCTGGTAGTCCCACAGAACCATGGGCACATCACGAAACCAAACTCAAAGGCAGGAGATGTTGGGCAAGGCATTGAGCCTGGGCTCTGCCAGCCAGCTGGGAGACCTGGGAGAAGTCACCTTCTCCATCTGTGGCTCCGCTCCCCACTTGGGCAAGTGGATGACTGCACACACAGTCAAAGACCAGGGAGGAGCCTTCCCTGGGCCAGCTTTAATCCGGGCAAACACATTGGGAAGCAGGCACATGCAACAGTCCTTTTCCCTTGGAAAACCCTCGACCGGCCACATCTCTGCAGAGCAAGAACCCATCTGATGCTCCAGTCCTCCAGCAGTGCTTCTGAGCATCCAGCTGAGCAATCTCCCCATGCCCACCCCGGGCATTCTCGTTGCCGGCTGACCATGGGGGAAAGGAGGGGGACACCACGGGATGGCTCTGAGGAAAAGCAACACTCACCTCTGGCCGTTCCCTGTGGGTGTTGACGGCTTCAATGTTCAGCGAGATGGACTCTACCCGGCAGCCTGCAGAAGGGAGCACAAGGAGACAGACAGGTCATCAGCAAACCCAACAGGCACAGGATATTACGAAGTGCTCCACCCCAGACCTCTGCTCTTCTCCCAGAGGCAGCTTGGATTCAGGAGAAGGTCCAAGTTGAACCCCTTGGCGTGTTTAGTAGAAAAGCCCCACTTACCATAGGCCACCGGGGTAAGCTTCAACACTGTGTGAAGGGGACATTTCAGGTAGGGCATTTCATCTGCAAAGAAAGCAAAGCAGGAGGGTTATCCCATCCCCTGTCCAAACGCAGATTTCAACATCTTCATCAACAGCTAAGGCCACACCAAAGAGATGCAGGCTCCAGGCCCTTCAGGGACCTGAACACATCTCTCATCTCTGCAGAGCTCCGTCTATCATCCCTCCTCCAGCAGGATCAGTCCTCTTCCCAGGGACAGGGAGCTCACCTGCACTCTTGTCCAGAAAATATGCCAGGAGACAGCGCATGACAGCCTGGTGACAGATCACAAGGACGTTCTCTTGTCTCTCCAGCTCCATGATGACCGGCTCTAGGCGCTGTACCAGATCTTGGTAAGACTGAGACAGAAGAAGGAAAGGGAGATATGGCATAGAATCAAGCAAACGAGCACCTCACAAGAAACAATGGTCTTTGTCTTGGTACATCTATTGATTTCATGCCTCTGACTAAATCAACATCATTACTGCTAGAAATGAGCAAAGTTCAACAAATCCTTATCTTCAGGCTACTCTAGAACATGGCTACTTCTTCTGGTAAGAGGAGAAAGAGGACATTTACATCTCAGCTACAGTGCTGGAGAGTTTATTAACGTAAGCAACAACTGCACAGGGGCTTTGAACATAGTGTCTCTCTATCACCTTGAAATTTAATTTTCTACAGGATTTCTAAGATCTGAAAAGTCTGGAGCAACTTGAAAATCTCCAGGGTTTTGAAGGGCTTCATAAAGAACTACAACAAGCAGTCAGAAGGAACCCCAGACACCCAGAGTCAGTGTCGGACATCCCCAAATATTCTCATGTTAGGCACACTGTCATAAGGATGTCTCCAAAGATTTTTCCCAAATGGATGACTTAATTTGGGGATAAAAAGCCCAATTCACAACCTAAAGTATCATCCAGAACTGACGTCAATTCCCACCTCATTGTGTCACACCCAGAAAGCAGATTGCCAGGAACAGAGATATCAACATCAACCCTTAGGGAATGATACTAAAAGCAGAGGTAGAAATTATTTCTTTGGAAATGAAAGGAAATTGGGGCAGCAGAACACTTTGAGTGGATGTAATGCAGGAGGTTGGACTAGAAACCTCCAGAGCCCCCTTCCTACTAATTTGCTATAAAGTCAGTGGGACTGTTAAGTGATACGTTTCTTAACGAGATCTTCACATACCACGATTTCACAAGAGCTCAATGCAAAAGGTAAATATGAGCCCTGAGCTTTCTTGATTCGAGTTTCTTGGAGCACTTGCTGCTCCCCTGCTCTGAGTGTAGAGGACAGCATGAAGACCAGAAGGCCATGTTTAAAGAGTCACATCTCTGAAGGTCTTCTTGCAGACCTACCTCCCCAGAAGGATAGCGATAGTAATATTTATCCTGATCACGTAAAGCAAATTCCTCTGGATGCTGCTCTCTGATTTCTTCATATGTCATTTCTTCACACACACCCTGCCAGAAGAGGACATCCATGAGGTCACTGGACATGCTCAAGTCAAAAAGCATCAGCACACCCAACGTACAAAACCTTCTCCAATGCAACTGTGCAACCCTCTGAGTGGTCAGCTACGGAGCAGCGCCAAACAAAAAATCATTTTAATCTGCTCATTCAAGCCAATATCTTGAAGCATCTGCAGCTTCTGAAGCTAAGATCAGAAGCCAAGTTGTGAGTACCGCAGCAGAAGTACCACCCTTTCCCACAAAAGGAAAACCTCTCCACAAAAGGTGAGATTTAGGCAAAAGTGAAAAGGTCGGTGCTATCGCCCACCCTCTCTGCCAAGCAGCAACCAGCATGATCCAGCTGTTCCTACTGCAATCAAAGATACTTACAGCATCGATTTCATTGAGTGCCTTCCACTGCTCGTAGGGCAGTTGGAGAGCTTCTGCTGTTTGGATTGTCCTCTTTAGTTGGCTGGTCCAGACTTTGAGGTCCTTCAGGTTCTGCTCCTCAACAAACTTGTTCAGTGCCAATGCAAACTGTGGGACATAAAAAAAAAAGAGGTTGATTCCCGATCCACAGCTTCCCAATCGGCCTTCTTCCCTGCTTCTCAGTAACCGTTGCCTTCTCCAGGACCTTTTTTGCCTTCCAAAGGCAGACATATTAGCGTTCTGCTCTGAGGTGAAGAGCAGCCACACATGCATTGATCCTCAAAAGTTGTGAGGGGTATGAGAACAGAGATAAAGCAGAGCAGAAAGTGGCAACCTAACGTCATCAAGGAACAACATCAGCATCCAAGAAATAGTACCACAGCCTGGACTCTCCTACAATGCTATGGAAGATCCCATGCCACCCTTAACCCACAGCGCTGCTTATTCGTCATAGAGCTAAACTGATGTATCCTGTAGTCCTTGTTAATAGTCACACCTCAAATGACTCCATTTGGACCTCAAAATGGTCTGGCAAGCCAAAATAGCTATTAACCCTTCCTGAGGCAGTGGGCTTGATTGTGTCTTTGAAGAATCAAGTAGTGAGCAATCTGAAAGTACCCTCAGAGTTGGCTATCCCTGCTGAAGTGTGGCAGTAGTCCTTCTACATCCTGCCCTGCCTGCGCAAGGTCTGACCCAACTCGACGAAGATACTCATACCCTTCTCTTCTAGGGATTTCTGCAGCCCAGCCTCTGTTAACCCCTGACTACATGCAAGCCTGCGTGCAACACTGAAGGCTGGAAAGTCTTGTTTTGAGGCCATGCCCGAGCCTAAATTTAACCAACCCTATAGATGGAGCCTCTGAGCACCCCAGCTGTTGTCAAATATACACTTAACCCAATGCATGGCATCTATTACAGCCAAATCACTCCTAGAAGCCATAGGGGAATATTCCTTTCTCCCTCACCTTCTTGCCCCTGTTGGAGAGGCCCGAGTCACCTCCAATCTTCCCCTTGAGGTTGAACTCGCTTTCGCCATGCCGACAGAGATAAATGGTGCGGGGCTGGACATGGATGTTCATCAGGTAGTAAACGATCCTGCTCTGGATGTGATCCTGAACCCTGTTGACCAGGAACCGCCGGCCAACGTCGATGACTTTGATGAGAGAAAGCTCCCTAGGGAAAGCACAGCAAGGATGAGGGGGGTGCCAGTGGGGAAAGCAGAAAGAAAGAAACATCATCCTTGACTAAGAGCCTTGTGAGGTATCTCAGTCAACATAATCACCCAGCTAAAAGGATTTCCTGCAGGCTATTTTCAACAGGAAGCCAACAGGTACCTGCGATTCGTGGAGAGCTAAGTAACACCAGTGTAATCGCCGTTCCTCCTTGCAGCAGTAAAGAGGATTAAACAGGACTAGCAGGGAGCATGTTCCTCCCCAGGACGGGGCTCAGTAGGACCAAGATAATCCACGCAGGGCACATGGACATATTTGTGAGCAGTGGAAGGGCTGGGAAGTGCCTGCACGGACTTGTGGGACAGCAAAGGTCTTCCCAGGGCACACAACTAGGCGGAAACCACAGGGCTTGCTCAACTTTGTGGTTTGAGCCTGTCCAAGTAGTCCCTTCCTTTAACTGGCACAATGACAAAAGCATCTCAGAAACACTCAAATTCAAGTGCTTTTCCAAACTCTTTGTATTTAGACTTGCAGAACGAGGTTGAAACCAGCCTATGTGAGCCCAGAAGAGCCTGGGAAGGTTTCAGTGCCCGACTCCCTGGCACTGGGCTGGGGCAAAACAGCATTTTCAAGGAAGAAGCCTGAATTCACGGTGAGGCCTGGCCATACATTATTCTAGCGTACTCATGTATTTGAAGACAAAGTGAAATACAGCTCCATACTTCATTACTCTTCTCCTGGGGGAAGAAAGGCATTCAAGCCGGTTCAGAAATCAGCAAAGTCTCTTACCGGTCATAGTCATCAGGGTCCAGCGGCTGGTAGCTGGCTTGGTAACAGTTGATCCTCTTCATGAAGTCCTCCATGGCATCAGTTGAATTACAGTCCCGGTAATCAGGGCTGGACAATTTTACTTCCTGCAACAGGGGAAAACACATGCCGCAAGGAGAGGTTAGGAAGCTTTCCAAGCCAGACCATGCTAATCTTCAAAACAAGGAGATGTTAGGAAGTTTTCCAAGCCAGACCATGCTAATCTTCAAATTTCAAAGTCCTGCCAAGATCCAGCTATCAGCTGAACCATTTTATAGTCATCGCTTGTCATAGGACAGAAAAGAACCAAAAAGACCCAAAACTAAGCACAAGGTGAAAAAATCTGGTATAAACCATTGCATGACTGGTATAGATGTGTATCAGTCCACTCCCGTTCTCCCAAGAGTTAGGGTAGCACCTCACCACCCAACGCAGCGGGAAAACTGACCTTTCTGATGGTTAAAGAAAAGCACCAGGTCTAAGCAAGTGCACGCACTTCGAGAAGATGCTTATCCTAGGCCTTTTGAGTGAATAAAGCTGCCAGGAGTAAGAGATCAACCTGGCTGTCCACCATGTGAGACAGCAGGCTAACAACGTTCAGCCCCTTTCTGTGCATTATCTGCTACAAGCTTCTGGGCTGAAAGATGCTAGAAATGGGCAATGTGAATATCCAGAACTGTCACAGACTAAGTTCTGCCTGACCTATTCTAACAGGCTATTTCTCCTGAAGACTGGGGTTTGAGCAGCAGCATTACACATTAGTAACTTCACAAGCAATCCTGAAACCAAAACAGGATAACACAACTGAGCGACACGCGTGGCAGTGCCCCAGGACCACAGTCTATTTTCCGCACTGATCCCAGCATCAAGACCAGCATTCATCTGCAGCGTCCCATGGATCAAAAACCTACGCTCGGCTAGTAGTTCATTTTCTCCCCTTTCAAACCTTAGTTTCCAAAGAAAGAGATTAAATCCTCCAAAAAAAAAAAAAATCCAGCTTCAGAGTGTTGCAAAGAAAAAAAAAGGAGGAAGAAAAAAAAGGAGCAAACCGAGCATTTTATTAGCATCATGGAAAAGGCTGTGTGCAACCTCCCAAGAAGCTGGTCACTGGCCATGGGACACCAGTTCCCAACAGAAGCAAAAGCCATCCTCTAGCCCCCACCCCAGCACCTTTTGTGGAGCCCATCCTGCGGACAGAACAAAACCCTTTTTCCAGACTTTGGGTATCCTGCAACACATTCCCAGACACCATAAAACAGCTCGCAAAGTTCAGATGTACAACTGGAGATAAGGCTGGAGCAGAGACCAGTGGAGGAAAGGACACTTTCATTGAAGTTAATCATGCCTAGGTAGACCAAGTAGTGTCTACCTGTGCTAGCCGAGCCTAACAGGCAAAGAAGTTCTTCTGCTGGTGGGAAATCAAAGATCCAGCAGCTCCCAAAGGAGCCAGGAAGCAATGTTTTATGCTGCTCTCCCAACCAAGACTTCAGCTAGTGGCAAGAAACCTCTAAGCTGAACTGCTATTCTTCTCAAAGCAGACCCCAACAGATTTTGGGAAGCTGCATGTGGCTGAAGACACCAAGTCTGGCTGCTCTCCTGTGGGATCTAAACCCCTAACGACATCCTTCACTTCCAAAAAGTGGGACTTTGAAGTCACCAAAGTATCCTGAATACATTTCTCTCCTTGATAACAAGTTAGACGTTGACGGAAATGCAGAGAGCACGGAAGGGAACTGGGGAAAGGTTACAATGATTTTTACTTTCATTACTTCCAGGCGGCCCTGGATCCTGGGAGACAAAGGGTCCGTTCTCATCCCAGGACAAATAAATAGATCATAAAAAGATAAAAACCTCTTAATCCTCAAGCAACTCTGGCAAGATGTTCAGATAAGAAACCAGCTGGGCACAGGTGGGAAATCCTACACAAGGGAAAACAAAAGCAAGACACTTCCACACTTACCATAACGTTGGTGGCAACTACTGTGGGATCATTGCAGACAGATTCAATGAAGAACACCTGTGAAGCAAAGCAAAGCTCAACTGAAAGCCACCAATAAGAGGTTTGTAACATTCAACCAGCTCCTTGCTCAACCCAACCTCCTCCCTGCTTGACCAGAGCGCTCTCCCTCTGCCCCACTCCCATCCTTTCCTTCTCCATGGGCTCAGTACTGAGAATGTGGGAAGAGTTTCACATTTTTAATCAAATCCAGCAGGGAAATTTCCCTTACACAGAAGCATTGTGAAGACAATATGTTAACAAAAGAAGATAATGCCAACGGCACACTAACGTGGACTAATGCAATACAGGCAACAGCTCGATGGTACCAACCTTGAACCCATTTTCTTTGGCAAAGTTTAGGATCATCCCTCTCCTCTCTCGCGTGGTATTGGTGGCATCAAAAACCTTTAAAAGCAAGGATTTCAATTAGCATCAAGAGTGCCCGGTTTCCCACTGAGCTCTTCCTCAGAGAAGGAACTGCAGAGCAAAGCGCACAGGGCACAGCACCTTCGGGACCAGGACTGCTGCCAAACCCCGTGGAACACGTCTCTGAGCTTACCGCAATCTGGCCAGCCTCCTCGGTCAGGTACAGCTTGACATCCCTCAAGGCAGCCAGGGCACACTGCCTGCAAAAGAGGTGAAAGACGTGTGGTCCTGATGTCCTCAGAGATGCTTGCAGCAGCCAGTGCAGAGACCTCCACAAAGGAAGGCAGACTTTGCGGTTCCTCCTCCTCACCTCCCCCCTTGCTCCCAGAGATATTTAGGAAAGACACCCTCGGTCTGCCAAAAACACAAGAGCCATGCGGGCCAAGCCGTGTGCTGGTCTTCACAGCAGAGGCAATGGTAGATGAAGAAGCAAAGGCCAAACCTCATGGCAGACCCCATACTCTACATCGCTGAGCCTGAAGATGAATTTAGGGTACCGCTGATGGAGGATGCACTGGTGACCATGAAGCTACCAAGCCTGTACAGCTTCAGTTTTCAGCTCTTGGCACCCAAGTCAGGCCGTCCTTGGGCAGGCAGGGAAAATTCAAGCTACAGCCCAGTTTTTCTCTTCATCACCCTCCAAACAAGCTGGGTAACTACGCTGCCAGCCATTGGCTTCACCACCCATTTGGAACGCGAGCGTGAGCATGGACACGGTGCCCACACTTACCTCCTGACTTTCATGGCCTCCTCGTTGTCGGGGCGGAAGAAGTCATAGGAGCTGTAATGCTTCACCGCCTCGCGACGATACTCCCCGACGTTAAAAACTGTATGGGAAAGGCAAAGACCATCAAAACCAGGAGCAGGCATCAGCACAGCTCGACTCAGCTGTGCAGTTTCTGCAGATAACATTTTCTAGCAATGGCCCAAGAGGTGACATTCTTAGAGCAAAAGGCTCAGGGACATTCCTTGGTCTTCAAAGTGAAGGAGAACCTGGGCTGCAGCAGAAGCGATGGAAGGACATGGATATGTGGCCCATGGGATCTCGGAAAGATCCTCCACTACCTCCCAAGGCACTGAGCTCCTAGAGCAACTCCTGAGGACCACACCTCATGCTTTCCCCAGGCAGCCAGTGAAAGCCTCACCTTTTGTTGGAACACCAATCCAGTTGAGGTAGCGGGTCAGCTTCTTGGAGATGTAGGTCTTCCCGCGGGCTGGGAGGCCAACCATCACTATCACAGTGGGGGAATTGGCAAGCTGCGGCCCACAGGCTACAGGGAGGAGGAGAAAGAACAACATGAGCAGCAGTTAATCCTCCAGTTCATCCTGCATCAACCCTACAAGGCACTTGCTCTTGACCCAGCCTTCCCCTAAGTCCTTCAGCAGCTATAGGAAACCCAAAACCTCTGCTCCTCGTGCACCATCATCTCTGCAGCACCTCCTGCGCACTCCTCTCATGAGACGGGATAACCAAAACCTTGAGCAGGCAAATCCACGGACTCATTTTTGCAATGAGGTCTGCTGAATGAGCGTATGTCAGAGCAAGGGGCATGGTGGGTGGCTCCATGGCCACCCACCAGTGTGGCACAACTGCCCCAGCTAAACCACACTGACCCAAATTCATGCTGCCACACAAACCAGGGGACAGAAGTCACAGCCTGACAGCCCCACACCAAGGAGAACATCCTGATGGTTGCAAAGCGAGCAAGAAACCAGTAGCTGCCCCAGGCTCCCTGTAGAACCTCTGTGCCTCAGTTTCCCCATTTGAACAGAAAATAATAAATAAATATCAAGGCAACCACAATCTCCCATTCCTGTGTTTTGGGCAATTCTGTAAAAAGCTAGAGGATGGCCAAGGACTTCGGTCAAGCCCCTGCAGCAGTGCGCTTCAGGCATGGCTGCTGTGCTGAAATACCAGGTCTGCACCAAAATCTTCACCCACAGAGAGCACCTTCCAAAAAAAGTTTTGCTAGCTTTTTAGCTGATACACATAAAAATGCAACCTGTTTTTTCTGAAGACAAGCAGGGCACGAGGACTACAGAACCACCAGCGTTTAAAAGCAGATATATCAAGTGACTTATCCCTTTTTCCTCATAAACCTCTTTTAAGCTGGATTTTTTCTGTTGTAAAAAGGGTCCATGTCAAACAGCTGGAAGTAAATCCAGAGGCATCACTTAGTGATGACTTGGCAGGTAAAGAAAAACTCCTTTCCAGTTTGTCCAAATGGCTTCACCAAAATGCAGACAAATCAGCTGCCGGGCTGCCCAGGTGAATCACTTCTCCCTCCATAAATCCTTTATAAAGTAAATTCCTGGTTCAGTTTGGGGGAAATTGCTAAGGTTACAGGACTGGGAATGTAATTTGGATATTTTTTTTAATCCTCCACAGCCCCATCTCAGCACCACAGGATGCATCTGGACCGCATGCCCCACGGACCATGTAACGTGGCAGCATCCCTGCTCCTCCCCAGGGTTTGCCCTGCAGAATTGCTTCTCACATGGTTCTGCACACATGAAAGGCCAAGGCACACAGCCAAGCGCTTTAAATATGGGAAAGGAAGATTTTAACGATGCCTAATGGAATTTGGATTAGCCAGCCGCCTTTCATGCCGCCCGGCATGAGATGCCAAGAGCCCTCCCAGCAAAGGCAGGAGAGGCAAGACCCTCCGGGGGATTTCTCACCCACCCTTCAATCCACCGGTGAGCCCAGAGACCTCATGGGAAAGGAATGCAGGGAGCGAGTGGCTGGTGGCAGAGCCATAAAAACGCAGTTTAATTACGGTCTAGGCAGAGAGCTCTGCCTTCATGTCCCACCTGCCCACAGGTGGGACCAGGCGGCAGAGTGATTTGGGGATGCGAGGGGCTGCCCGGTGGATGGAGATGGGGTGGTGGGTTGGGGGAGGTTTTTCTCAGTGGAGATCTGGGAAGGGCAAACAAACCAAGAGGGATCCAGAGAGCATGCAAAGCACGTGGGATTTCCTTCCCTTGCCAAGAAAAAAAAAAAAATCCAACAGCTAAAGAAACCAAATTAAGAAAGAGTTACGGTGCTGGTACCCAGAAGGGCAGAGAAGAGCCACCCATCATCTGCTTGGCTGTCTTGCCAAAGCAGACCCAGCAGGCGAGAGATGAGAAAACTATCTAAAAGAGATTTTTTTTTTTTTTTTTAAATATTTCACATTCCTCAGGCTGGAGCTGCCCTCACACTCACTCCCTTTGTGTGACCTGCATCCCTGGTGCCGCGTTTCAAAAGCCCAAGCCAGCTCCCACTGATTTCAGCAGCAAGCGCTGATTTTGCGTGCTGGGCTAACAAGGCAGCTGTGCAACATATCCAGAAAAAAAAAAAATTATTTTTTTTTTCCCTCTCTGACAGTCTCACAACCTTAACCAACCTATGGGCACAAGTCTTTTTTTTTTTTGCACAAAAAAGAACTGTTTATTAGATAAAGGGAGGAGAGA